CACATTGTCGTTTGTCTTGAAGCACAAAAAGGTGGCGCACTTTGTTCTCAAATGTTTTTTTTATGTTAACCTTTGAGGTGTGCACCACTCAACACGCTGTGTTATGGCAGCAGCGTTAAGGCACGAGCACATTTGCATCATCTGATGTCACAGCTGACGTTCAATTGGTCACCGTCGCAGACACCGGGCTTTAGGGCCGATTAAGCACTGAGCTGCAGGGAGAAGGGGGCAAGGCTATGTTTCGACTGGTCAACAAGTTCCTTTTCCTAGCTCAGGCTAACGTGAATGGTCACTGCCTCAAGCTTAGAGTGGCGCCACACGAAGCACCGTGGGGGAGATCATGGCCTGATGGGATGGCAGACCTCAAATGGAAGTGTTGCCAACGCTCATTTTTGAAGTTGGACTCTTTCAGTGCCAGATTCCGAAAGTAAGCACTTGCGAAGCAAAATCAATGGTACTAACTGGTCCAATCGCTTTGTGGAGTGATTTGATCTAGACACTTCTCCCAAACTAATGAACGGGGTTTGCAGCCTCCCTTTATGCCGCCAGGCTGGTTGTCGATGCGATGCCAACGGTTCAAGTGGCAATATTTGATTTCTATTCGGCAACATAATATGTGCGCCTTTTCCTCGGTAAATTAAACGACTGATTCGTGCAGAACACGTCTGACGTTTGCCTTTTGAGAGTGAAATAATTTTACTGAGGATCGGGAGACGTTGATTAAAGCTTTTTATATTGGCATTTTCACAAGTCATTTCAGTCTCCATCCACTCGCTCTGCGCCAATTCGGTCTTGGTTGAAGATAAAGTTTTATCTGCTTTCATCATTTATTTCCTCACATTGTTGTCCCACTTATTCACACCTTGTTTTCAAGTGCCTACAACCGGACGCTACGTGGACCTGTCATTTGCGATCTCTGCTGATCGCACCTCAGCTTCCGTAGCCTCTCTCTCTCTCTCTGGGCTTTTTGTTGGCCTAGTCCTCTATTAAGCGCAATAAACGCAGATTTTCTTGAAAGACGCACACAACGAAGTCTGCATGAGAGGTGAGACACAACGCCGCCATCTAATTGGCAATTGGGACCTCTGTTAGCCACGGCGTTGTCCGACTACACTAAGTGGGCGGTTTTTGTGCTAGCTTGTCTAGTAGCTTCTTCGTTGCTAATTCCATGAAAAAGGAAATACAGTAACTAATTTCAACCGTCGTACCGAGTGCTGGAAGTACACCCTGTCCCTTATGCAAGTGGTCATCGCGGTTTTTTTTCTCACTCAAATGCCTATTTCTGCATTGAGGTTTAATAGCTGATCTCTTAATCGCATTGAAAAGGCTAATGCGCCCACATCGAGGTTCTCTTCCTCCACTTTGTTCATTTGTGAACAAAAGGGTCGCTATGAAGCGAAAGAATTAGATGACAATGAAAATTTAATTGATCAGTTTCAATATGCCTCATGACTGTTATGCGGGGCCACCATTGTGCAAAAAATTGCGGTATGATGTTTACCCTGACCATCTTTTAATAATCATCAAGAAAATAGTGAAGTAGGTTTAAAGTTAAGCAAAAAATGGAAAAATAGTCAACAGTGAGGCGAGAATTATCAAAAGAGGATACCAGCATGATTGTACATCAATCAGGTGATGTACAGCAATCAGTTGAATGGTTGATCAGACTTCATTCCGATTTGACACGTCGCTTCGCAAAGTCGCGAGCCTCAACGGCTCTACCACCCTGCGCTCTCTCCAACAGAGTGGGACCAAGGCTACGGGTACCCTGATGCAGACGCGCTGCAATGGCTACGCCCGTATTCATCGCCGCTAGCCTTGGAAACGTTTGAGCCGACATCGGTGGTGAAGGTGTTGGTGTCTCTGGGACTCCCGACTCTTCGTTCATTCCATTTCCTTCTGTGTTCTTCATCGTTAAGCCACTAACAACACCAAGTGTACTCACAAGTACGCATAGAATGATGAGTGCCTTGTGTGCATCCGTGAGTGTGCTCACCTTACTCGCCCATTCACGACAGGTTCACAATTGGGTAAAAGTCCTTGTGCGTTTAATGTGTTTTGAACTGTGGGAAAAAAAACCGGTGTGGGTGAGAATGGCCTTTGGTTAAGGGAAAGCAGGGTCAATGTTGCAAATTTTTCCCCTCGAAGAAAGGGTCAGTGTGTTATCGCAGTAGGGACACGACTGCAACAGCCTTCCATTCCACAATTATGTTGTATTTACAGTAGTACGTAACCATGGTGACAGTTTATAGGTGAAGAGAAGTCTCGCTTAACCAAAGTGTTTAAATGGTGGAGGCAGGTAGTGCTTATAACACTCACAAAAGGCGCTCTTTATCGCACCGTTATGCGGCCGACCCAATTTCTTTATACACGGAATCGTCACCACTCACATGCTCCACAATTTGCCCACCGAGACACCTCAGAAGGTCTGATCGCCTTGCGTATCCCAACTGCGCGTTCTGCCAAACCCCTACTTGCCTTCCTTTGGGGAAATTTCAGGCATTAAGACTGTTAACGATTTTCACAATGGTTATTCAAATACTTTAGTTCTCCTTCCTCGAGATGTTGCCGATTCAATCTTCATCGTAGTCTTGGCCAGGAAGGCAGGCGACGACAATAAAGTCGCACTCTAACACTACGATTCTTTGCGGATCCTCAATTTGACCTTTGTTGGACTGCGTGAATTGATGTACACATTTTAAAACGCTCCTGATGGTATTGTTTTGCAAAAAGGAGGGATATTGCGAGCCCTATCAAAACTGTATGTAAGGGTTTAAGCTCTTTTTTGCACAAAAATCATTCACTTTTGCAATTGGTTGAACGCTTTAGTCGATGTTCTGCTTTGGCACTCGAGCTTTTCCATTGTTTATGACATTACTGAAAAAGGGGCAAATTCATAACACTAAAGAAGTCATAACTGTTTGGAGCAGGTTAAGCATGCCTGACTCGGCGAAAGGGTTTTGTAGGGCTGCATGCATTCACCAGAGGTCAGCCCACCGGATGGAAGTGCAATGGCAGCGCCTCTACGTGACCTACCACTAAAGCCGTAGGCGAATAAAGTCATTAACACATTGCAATAGAAGAGGTGAGGCCGTCGTACAACGGTTCTCGTGACACATCTTCATCCTCTAATCATCCACTGATGTTGGAAAGGCTAGTGATTTGATTGGCTGGAATCTTCTCCGTCACTCTCGTCCAACGTCAGCGGTACATTTTACTGCTAACTGGACTTCCAAGTGAGGAGGAGAGGGGAGAGGGGAGGATAGGCAGGCTCATCAAAAATGTAGCAATGATCGTAAATTAACATTTTATTGGTCAACGCCAAATAGCTGTAGTGCTCGAGTTGACCAAGACGACACGACATGGTCCACGGGGTTGGGCGAGCGCAGAGCACGCACCACTACCAACAGTGATCCACTTGCCAATCGAAGGGATCGGAGTTTGGAGGTTCTGAAAAAAAAAGAAAGAAAAAGAACCCATGAAGCAAAATGGGTGCTCTAAAGACATCACCTCCTGATAATGGTGGAAATGAGTTTAAAATGTTTCCTCTGATCGTAAGCTTTTAAACGTTCAACTTGCAACAATCGCAGTACTTCAAGGCACTCTAAAATCGCAAAACGGAAACAGACTTTTAATAATTCACCACTCTAATTTGATCGATTTTGTATTGTTTATAAAAAGAGGTAAGTGTTTTGTTTAGTTCTCAGTTGTAGTAAAAGACCCGCTCAGGTGCTCTGTCGCGCAACCTGGCCGCCAAAGCCCTATTGCCTCGTCTTCAAGAGGGTTTTCCGTGCTTTGGGCTTACGAGTCCTAACTCTTCTTTAGCGAAAACATTTTATTCGACTTAGAAAATGGAAAAAGTAATCTTGCATTAGGCAACATTGGTGAAGTCAAACATCAGACTTGCCTCCCACCACCACCACCACCACCTCCTCCTCCTCATTCTTTCAAAGCAACGCCTGTCAGGTGACCAAAGAAAACTATCAAACCATGCTTTTTCCTACGAGAAGCAGGATTTTCCCACCCCAAAGCAACACCTTTTAGGTGTGCACAATTTCAACCGCAAAACACAAAATACCCAAGCAGTAGACGGTGTCTGTCGTGCAAAATTTAACCAGTGACTTCACGCACTGCAGTGAACTGCAATGCTTTGAATGCACTAGTTTTTGGGGTAATCGTTGCTTTAAAACGATTGCCACCGTCAAATTCGGGAGGAGGCAACTCATGTGTACTTTTGGGACTGGCTGTATAAATGTTTTAAAATGAGAGCCTCGTTTGGTGTTAATCAACTTTGAAAAACCGTCCCCAGACTAGCTTTTAGCAAACACTTCTTACGTACGACTTTGAAAATCGGTTGTCGTTGGAAATTGGCCTCCAGCTGAAACGAAAATGGAAGATTTTAGTTGGCTGTTCCCCGTACGGAATTGATGTGTTGCTAGGGTTCTTGTGCTGTATCTTCAACGGGTGGTGATCAGAGGCTCCTTCGAGGCTCTTGTCTTCTTTCATCCTCAGAAAATTGGCAAGAAGCTACAGTGGTGACAACAGAATGCGAATCGAATTCAAAAAGGCAACATTGTTCAGCGATTCTTAACTCCATTGAGAAGGAGAAAAAGAACCTCGGCTTCGGATTGGAGACTATGCTAAAGCCTTAAACAAGGGCCAAAAGTGATGTCATTCCTCGGTGTCCAGCCCATTTCTAATGTTTTCGGAAAGATTTTTAAATAACGACGCGGGTCTAGCCTTGAAGTTTTTGAATGGCCCTCACGGAAATGTCTACGGCGCCTTTGTGGCAATGTCAACACACACCACCTCTCTACTAACTGAAATAAAGACTTATGGAAATATGGTGTGGGTCACACGTTGGGGAATGGCAGCAATAGACGAGGAGCCTTATTTCCAAAGAACTATTAAATCTCATCTCGTATCACCTTTCCTACAGCCGGTGGTGGACTGCAATGACAGACAGCACGTTTTCCTTCCCCTCGTGGCATTCCAGATGCAGTGGAATTGACAAAAGAGGTCAACAACGCATACAATCATGCGTTACCTCATCCACGCGACAGTTCCAAGACTAATGCCTTTGGCCTGCAAGTATTTTGCAACCCCTGGTACCGGAGGTTGACGATAAGGCCTAGGTGAGATCCTGTTAGGTAAACCTTCAGTTTGATCACAAAGCCACTTGGAATTCCGTTATCGTGCCTTCGTTATGGCTTCCCCACGCCATGCCAACAGTCTCAAGCCCTCTTCTAGGCCAAGAATACACATTCAGATCCACTTATACGCCCTCTTTTTGGTTGTCACGACGACTGTATGCGATTGGGGATGACTGATAAGAAACTTTTTTAATAATGTCAAAATGCAGTCATGACACACGATTGCTCAAGCATTAGACTTGCCAATGAGCCGTGTGCAATGGAGAAAGACGCGGTGTGGATTAAGAGCAGGTCATTTGTGCCACGCAAAGTGCCAAACCG